CCAGGCCCCTATGGCCTCCCCCCCCCCCCCCCCACATTCACTGTGCCTCCAGGCCTCAGCCTCCGCAGCTGGTGCAGGCACTCCCACACTGCCAGGTCTGTGGATTTCCCTCCCCCTGGGACTTCCCTGCCTAGCCCCTTATGCCCCTGAGCCCCCACCTTGTCCCCAGGTGGTGTTCCGCTACGCCTTGGCCATTTTCAAGTACAATGAGGAGGAGATCTTGAGGCTGCAGGACAGCCTGGAAATCTACCAGTACCTGCGCTTCTTCACCAAGACTATTTGCAACAGCCGGTGAGCACCCACCCTGCCGTCACCCCACTGCCCGCGCACCCCCAGGACATGCAGCAGAGGGTGGTGTCTGCTGAGTGGAGCATCGTGAGGGAAACTGATCCTCCCATTATTGCTTAGAAATCTCTAGGGAAGTCCTACTGTCCCGTGATCTATTTGCCCCCTTAACATGGCATTCGGGCCTCCACGCTGTTTCATTCCTGCCCACCTTCTGCTACCACCAACACGCATAGCCTGTGATCCTGGAAACATAACTACAGAGGGTGCCAAAAAAAATGTATACACATTTGTCTGGGCACAGTGGCTCAAACCTGTCATCCCAGCACTTTCAGAGGCGGAGACGAGGGGATTGCCTGAGCCCAGGGTTCGAGACCAGCCTGGGCAACTTGGCGAGTCCTTGTCTCTGCAATAAACCAAAAAATTTAGCTGGGTGTGGTGGCATGTGCCTGTAGTTCCAGCTACTTGGAAGGCTGAGGTGAAGGATTGCCGGAACCCAGCAGGTCGAGGCTGTGGTGACTGTGAGCAGCATGCCACTGCACTCCAGCCTGAGTGACAGAGTGAGACTGTGACTCAAAAAAAAATGCATACACATTTTAAGAAAGAAAAAAGCTATTAAAAGTGCAATACTCAACATATACCAATGACAAAAGATGAAGACAAGACAAGTTTGACTTCTGCAGCTACAAGGGGTGCTCAAAGTGGTTCCCATCAGTTTCTAGCCACTTCTGATTACGGCAAGCTAAAAGTAATACACAGATAATGTCCCTTAAAATGGGCATACATTTTTTTGGCACCCCTGGTATTTCCTAGAACAACCCCTCCTCCGGGCTTTTGCCCTTGCAGTTTCTTCTTAGAATGCCTCCTTGCCAACCTCTGCCGCCACCACCTTTTTGGCCTGGTCAACTTTGATTCATTCTTTAAAACTCAGCTCACATGTCACCTCCTCCAGGAAACCTTCCCTGACCAGTCCTTCTCTACTGGGTTAGGTGCCCGTCTTCTGAGCTCCCTTAGTCCTGAGCCTCTTCCTCACACATCCCTCTGGGTGGAAATTGTCTTCTTATTCACTGTTTTCCTCCCCGGGGAAGGGGAAGGAATGCAGGGATGTCTGGGAGGGCCTGTGAACAGCAGGCCCCGTGGGGTGCCACGCTCTGAGCTGATTGTCCCCTCCTCGCAGGAAGCTGACGAACATCGCCTTCAACGACATGAACCCCTTCTCCATGAAGCAGCTGCAGCAGCTGCGGGCGGCCCACCGGGAGCGGCTGGAGGGTGAGCTGCGGGAGCTGGAGCGGCTGAAGGCCGAGTACCTGGAGAGGCGGCCATCCCAGGGCAGGCCAGTGCCCGAGGCCTGCGCCAGCGAGGACGAGGCCGAGGGGGAGCCCTGACTAGGCCACTCCCCTCCCAAAGCCTTCCTCACCCTCTGCTGGCAGGCCCTCTGGAAGTCGGGCACAGACCCCGTCACCTTGTGGCCCTGGACAGGGCCCTTCCCCTGCCGGGGCCTCGGGCTCCCCTGCGGGACATCATCTGCTGCGAGACCATCAGTTGGGTCACTCTTCATGAGCACTTACCCGGGGATGCCACCCCTTTGTCTTCTTCCTACAGAGCACTTCAGCCCGTGGACAAGCAAGAGTGTGTCTTTATAGGACAGCCCTGAACTTTCTCTAGGTCACATCAATATAAAGCAGTGTATTTTAAATGCTGGAAACGGTCCACAGGCTTTGGAACTCGAATTGAGAGGTTCTCAGGGCTACTTGCTTCTGGGTGGGCCTAGGATGCCAGGTGTGCGGCCCTAGGCCTTCCGGAGCATCTCTGGCTACTGTTTGGACGTTTGCAGGGTCAGCCGCTTCCTGGCTCCCCATGGAGTTGGGTCCTGAGTGTTCAGGGTTTCCGTCTTTCTGGGCGGCAGCTCTTCTTCAGTGCTGACGGGGGATGCACTCCAGGCCCATGCTCTGTGGACTGAGGCCTGTTTCCCGTGCCGTATCCCCATGCCCCCCTTTCTGCTCACAGCCCATTTTGGGGGTTTCCAGGGAAAAACTCCAGCCCACCACCACAAGGAGCTGGGTGTGGGGGTTGGGTGGAGACCCTGGGTCAGAGCTCCACTTCGGACATCCCATGCCAGAGGTCCTCAAACTTTTTTTTTTTTTGAGTTGGA